TTTTTTTTAAGGTGGCAGATTTGCTAAAAAGCACAGTTTAGCTCCATTTAAAGAACACGGTGATGGATATACAAGGAACTACCAAAGAACGTCACCAATTCGAATTGCCACAATCTGGGCCGCAGCCTGTACGATGTATCGTTTTACAGTACTGAATAAGAAAGACCATTTTGTGAGTTCATCGTCACTACACTGGTCATTTTGTAGTTTTAGGCCTGCTAGGGAAACAGGTCATAATAGTCAGTTACAAAAACCACTGCAGAACCACTGCTTGTCTCGTATTTCTAGTATCGCTTCATAACTCTGCCAGTGACGAGTGCAACAGTTGTTGATACGTTTGCACGGAAGCAACGCCTGGAAGCCGGAAAGCACAGCGCAATAATGGAAAGAGTAAGTGAGGGCCAGATACGGGCCAATCGCACACCGAACACGGTGCGATGGAAAGCATCGCAAAAGGAATTTTTAGCTCAGTTATGTTTGACAGACGAATTGCACAGACCTGGTAAACAAAGACTAGCAAAAAAATTTTGATCAACAAATGTGATGCAGCGCTCACTAACGAATGAGGTGACGAGCAGTCTGGCTCAAGTTATGAGAGAAAATGCACGGGAAAAATAGATGCCAACCGAATTTTTCAGAAAAAAAATATTGTAACGACTGTACTGAAAAAAAAAAAAAAATTAAGGGCAGGCTATCTATCGCTAAAGAGCGATAAAGGTGCACATCCTTCCATCTTTTTTGTTTTCCAGTAGCTGTGAAGTAGTTAGCGTAAAACGCAACAAACAGCAAACAGAAATAAGGTAACTGGTTGATTTTGATACTAGAAGATTACAAGTGCGTATTCATCATCAAGTTTCAATCTGCGCCATACGTGGAGGGTAAGACAACAAAACAAAGGATGCGAGCACGAATTTTACAGGCATATGTTGCATTTTTTATGCACTTTTGCTACCAATTTCTCTAGCAGCTGAGCTTGTTTGTGCCTTTTTACAATTACAATTGTTTTAGTGTCTCAAATTCTACAGATTATTATGCTTCAGCTCACGAAGCAAAAGTGCAGCAAATGTAACAGTGAAACTGGACTTACCCGGCACCACCAGTAGGGTAATCATATCCCTGCCGCCCATCAACACTAAAACCGTAACCATATCTTTCGCCGATAATCAATTCCTGCTTTGGATCATAGCATGAGAGCATTCGATATAACCTTGGAACACTGCAATACAACAACGTTTTATAGTAGCAGGATTCGGAGTCCGCATTTTCTGTTGTTTAACGGAAACAGGTCGTCAGCTAAAATCACAAGCAGCATGTCGCACAAACAGAAATATATTCTTTTACAGATCACGAATCAACTATCATGCATCAAGAGTACTTGCTGGATGCGCAGATCAGTGGCAAGGTGATGCAATAAATATGATTCACTAGGTGCAACAACTAATAATATAAAAAACTGTGCCAAATATAACACAAGAACATCCCAGTCCGTTGCACAGTTAATGAACTACTGATGTTAATACTGAATTCGTTCAATGCCTCTGCAAAACAAAAATAATTCGTAACAAAAGATGCCCACATTTTGACTGACCCATGCGATTTGAAACCCAGTAATCTCAACGTGAGAATAACAAAACAGGCTTGTGTTCAGGCTGAAAAAACGGGAACTTTACAGAGCTCAACAAATGCTAGGGCTATGCCAACGGCGACATTGAACATTACGTCGAACTTATTGCATAGGGCAATTTGAACTGGGAAATGTTACAAATTAAGT